ATGTATCATTTATATGTGTTTATTGGACACAAAAATTTCGAACACAAATGAGATATTTTTTTAAAGTGCTGTACCTCTGAACTGACTGGCTACTTGAGTGCCTCACAGGCCGTTTTATTTTTCGACTGGTACACTATTGTGCCGTACGAATTAATTCGTTAAAATTATCTTCTTGATTTTGCTTGCCTCTGTTCTGTAGTTCACTAATATATTCTTAGTTTTAAAATATTTTCAATTTTTTGCAACATGTAATGTTTTTACCGCCATATTACTTGTTTTGTTTTCTTACGTTGTGCTGATTGTTATTCTGAAAATAGCTCCGGGAACAATGCTGCGTTCTAGCATTACGATACTTCCCGGCTAATCTAGAACAAAATAAAACTCGGCGAAAAAAATTGCATCACGTCGTAAATGACACTGACTACTTGTGCATGTCCACATACGTGTTCTGCAATTTAAATGTAGTAGGAAATTGGATTGAAATAGTACTGTACGCAGAAAGGAAGAAACAAAAGTAGCCCGTTACTCTGTTGACTTGTGGTTTCATGGAATTGCGTTTCATTTTCCAAAGCTCAGGTATCGTCTTCATACGTAAACACAAAAGAGAAAAAAAAAAAAAACAAGAACAAAAATTTAGCGCTTTTTCACTCCGGGAACAGGGATGTCCAGCGAAGCTGGCGCTCTGGTGGGATTCGCTATGCTGGGCTGGGAGCAGCGGCAACGACGGTTTCACGTTGGCGGCGTGCCCATTCTCGCTTCTAGGCGCGCCGACGCTCCTCGTACCACCGCTGCTCCTCTTCGGAACGTACAGCACTGGTCTGACCCATGTGAAGTCTGAAGTCCAACTGATCAGGACAGTAGCGCGATCTTCGGTAGATGGCCGCTGAAGAGCGCGCGGCATTGCGCAATGTCAAGGGGGACAAAGAACACGCGAGTGGGGAAGGTTCGTGCGTGCGGCGCCGGCGTCTGGAGCATTAACTGTGCAAAATTGTTTGTTGACGCTAGCTCTGACCGCGGAGACGATCTGCCCGAACCTAGCCATAGACAGCTTCGCTGTAAAAATTACGAATAATATTTTTGGAGGAGCAAGTGTAGATATCGGTTCCTGAAATTCCGTCTTTGCGATGGTCTCTCGCATTTACTCGGAGAGCCTCCTGGTGACGCCTTACGGTTGGATCGCATGGTCGTCGTCGTTGTCGACTTGGTCAGGCGGGCGGGCGTTGTTCAGGCCATTAAAGAAGTGTATCTCTGCATCACCGATGTTGTGGATGACACAGACGCCCACAACAACAAGGCAGCATTGCCTGATGCTGGCGCTGTCGACCAAGTACATTCTTTGAAATCCCTGCTTGAGCAGTCCGCAAATGTTTTCAATTGTCACTGTCCTTTGCCCGTGCTTGCTGTTATACGTAGTCTTCCAGCTAGGGATGCGCGCTTTTGAAGACTTGAAGGGGGTCATGACGTATGGCAGCAGGGGTACGCCGAATTTCTCAGCAGGGCTCTCCTTCAGGATGCCGGCGTCGTGCGCTGAACCGGGAAACCCGAAGTAGACGTCAATAAATTGATTTTCGTGATTGCAGATTCCATGCAGGACAACGGAATAAAACTTGCTCTGATTGTAGTAGGAGTTCGGAGGCTCCGTTGGTTGCAGGATTTCTATATGGTACCCTTTAATCGCCCCGATTATTTTGTGGGGATCGTTCCCCTTAGTCTTCCCCAGGATTCCGGCTGGGCTCCTCCGGTGTACTTCCTGGTCAGGCTTGGTGATTATTTGCGTGCTGCTGCTGTTCAGAAATTTCAACACTCTTTCAATGCAGAGGTCATGACATTTGACATAACATTTGACATAACAGACGATTCCGCTATGTCAAAGCGGTCCAAAAACTTCTACATAGTAACTCTCGTGCGGAAGTATCTAAGCACGATCAGCAAAGTCTGGTGCCCCCAAATACACGGTTGTCCACCAACGGGGTCCGGCCTCCGGGTAGAACGCCGAAGCTTCATATCGGCCAGCCAGCTCCGCCTGTGTCTCTCGTGAAAGCCTAAACAAGTTCCTAACCTCGAAGTTGAAGTAGGTGTCGATAACGTTTTCGTAGTACAGGGGACCCTGTTCCTGTCAATACTGCAGCCGCCAGTAGGTTCTGACGGGCCATCGCGTCTTGATTTCGCGAAGGTATTCGGGTGCATGTGGTCAATGAAATGTATATTAAAGCCATCGCAGCACGAAAGCAGACGGTAACTATTAAAAATGCTGATATGTATCATTGGATGCTGCACGCAGTTTTTAATACATTCATTAGTGTAAAAAACGTGCATGTAAAATATTTTGTTCAAGAAACTAGTATAAAATAAACGCAAATGCTCCCATTCAAGCGCTAGCAGCCGAAATGCCATGGCGACACAGTAGACGGCAAGAGCAGACGACGCCTTGCCTATCCGTTTTATCGGCACTTTGGAAGTCGATCAGAGCGCCAGTCCTAACGCGGTGGGTGCACTAGTTCTGCGCCGCCGCTGCATGAATCCTGCACTCTTCTGAAATAGGAAAGAACTATAGTCCGTTGAAACCTGAGAACGAAGGGCGAGGGTAAGATGGGCCGGGGAGGAGGAAGCAGACGGAACGCTGAAGAGAGAAGGAGGCTTCCTCCTCTCTTCTCCAGCGTTTCGTCTGCCTCCTCCCCGGCCCGTCTTACCCTCGCCCTTCGTTCTTAGGTTGCAACGGACTGTAGTTCTGAATTTCCTGGCTGGGTCGAACCGACCTATTGAATCTGTAACACAATACCTCCTCACCATCCCACTCTCCTCGCGACGTCATGCATGGCGCTGACAAACGGACGGACGGACGGACTGACTCTGGCGGGGTTTCGAGAAAACGAGCGTTCTAATGCTAATGCATTAATAATCCTGCCCACTCTTCAGTTTTCAGAGACTACAAATAACAAAGGAGCTGAATAATAACATCGAACAGCTTGTATATATGTGTTACGAACAGTTCGTTTGAACACGAAACGTGCACTGAAGCAACTTTTTGCCGTCAGAAATACTTAAAACGTGTTCTGGCCTGCATTTTTAAGTTGATACACTTCACGTAGTCGTCGCACCTGATTCGGCTCCACTGTGCTTTCACCTTCTCATATATTGTGGAAGCGAACTCCACGAGCATGCATCCGCACGCTCGCGCATGTCCAGCGTCGATCAAAGCTGTGCACGGGCACTCTTCGCTTCCCAAATCCCACGGGAAGTTTACCCCGAGATTTGAAGTTTCTTCGTTCGTCATCAACTTGATCTAACGCAGTCGCGTACTGTCTCAGAGCTGACCACTGAACCAGCCAAGTCATTGTGTGGTCTCTTAGCAAGGCAAAACCGGTTTTTAAACTTTATTACGGGCCTTGATCGTCGCTTTGTGGTAGTGAGATGATAGAAAAAGTCTTAACGATTAGATATTGCGAAAACACCAGGTTTACAAAAAAAAAACACCTTTTTTATCAGACAATTTTGAACTACACGTCAATGACCCATGCATATGTCCAAAACAACGGCCTAGCAACGATTTGATTGAAGCGCAGCGTCATGTTGTGATACCATCACTAACAGGGTCAAGCAGCAAAAGTTGATACTTCACTACGTATGGGCAAATTATATTATTCTCTCGGAATGAGTGATCCTTGTTGCCGTGGCCTTCGTTGTCTCCGCCCTGGAGTTGGCCTTCACCTGTCGCCAACGGCAGCAAAGCCCTTTGTCGCCTTGGGCCCCGGCACGGGCTAGCGACACAAGACAGAGTCCCGCTCAGATCCCCGAGACCAACCCTTGATCATTAGGCAGGGGGTGGCCTTCGCTGAAGGCTCTAAACACAAAAAAAGAACGTCTTCCGGAAGCCACGAGGTGGTCTGGGACCTCCAGCCCCCGCAAGAAGCAGCAGCGTTGGCGCGTGTGTGTTTGTCGGTGTTGTGTTTCAGTTTGAGCGGAAAGAGCGTTGACATCTTGCGTCAGACACCGAAGCATGGCAAGAGGCATAATGGGTTGCATCACCCGCACCTCGCTGAAAGGACACAAGGTAGTTGCATCAGCCGCCCCGCACCTCGAACATCATGAGAACATTTGAACTCAGGCGAAAATTTCTCTCTCTCAGAGGGCCTTCTCGCCTTCGAAGGCCTATTTAACACGGGCTCAGGGAGCCAGAACATGCCGATTAAAATGTCAATCATGCTACCTTTAAATTCACTGTACATAAAAGTTACATTTGTGTAATCCCAATCCATGTCAGTCTCCTCGGGGCTATGGGATGAGTGAGCCACAGCCCCAACTCTTGTTTCAGCTCCTGAGATCATCCCCTCCCAGACGCAACATCCTGTGACCATGGCGAAAATTATGGCGTTCGCGATCAAATAGTATATTGTTTTAAGCGGCACATACAAGATTGCACCGAGATTTATCGACCAAAAAAGGTATTTTATTTATTGCGGTTACGTTAGGGGGTATCAAATACTCCCGGAGTACTTTGCTCCAACCAGTCAGTTTTAAAATATTTCATACATGATTCTTAAAAACAAAATATTGAGCATTGTGATGTTCTGTGTCTCATCCTGACTTTATTTGGGAGACTTCTGAAGACGGCATTCCAGCTGGCCTCGCCCACCTCGTTAAGTTGGGGAGGGGTCACACCACCAGCGACCGAGTGCTGCCCGAGGAGTGTCGAACGTCCCGTTGCTTCTCGCAGCCGAAAACGGGTTGCAGGTGCAGTTCCAGACTCACTCGCTCTATTCTGGAGACTTCGACCACGGCATTCTTGCTTGCCTACCCCCACCCCGCCGAGCGACAAGTCGCACTACCACCGCCGGAGCGCCGTCCGAGTTAGGTGTCGGTGGTCCAGCTTCTCCTCGGTCCCGTAGCGGCTTGCAGGTGCGGGTCCAGACACTCTGGCAGACGGGACGGACTCATTGGCAGACCAGGGCTTTTGGGATGGTGGTGACGTAGACTTTGTGGAACTGGGAAGAGGGGGAGGATGAACTGCTGAAGGAAGAGACAGTCGTTGGCGGGGTCGCGTCGAGGGTAGCCAAAGAAAAAGCAGCTCGTCGTACGGGGGGAGAAGACCGACACGTGGGACGCCGAGAAAGCGCGGAGTTTGAAGAAGGACTCCCAGGACGCAAGGCCGCTGGAGAGGGAACCCCGCGGGAGGCGAGACGACGCAGGAGATCGAGTCAGAGACGGAAGAAAGACATCGCCTCGGAGCCGGGCCTGCTGCAGAACCCCTGCGAGCACCGCAAGCCCCCAAGAGATGCACGGCAGGACATGTGAGCGCCGTATCATCAAAGCCTGATTAGTGTCTTATTATTTAGAAGAAATGCATAAAAAGTTAACTCTGCTATCAGTGTTGTAAAATCCGCCGCCCTGTGTGAACCCTAAAGACGGTAATGCACTGCACCGTCACAGCATGTTTCTTTGCTATGATAAACTGAAGTACACAGAAAGTGAGCCGGAATTTGTTTATGCTTCTCGCGTTTTTTATCTTCATACTTTTCTGCTTCAGTTCAAGGCATTATTTTCCGTGCAGGCTTAAGGTCCCGTAAACCTGGTGGGAGGCAAACCGTAATAAATGGCTGGCGTAAAACAAGGGACGCAGGTGACGAGAAATTCATTCCATCATCCGGTACAACAGTTGAGCAGCGACAAGACCCATCCATGACGTCCGAGGTCAGGTTGACATCCGGTTCATTGCACGGAAAATGCACCGCAAGCTGCCGGACGAGAAGAGGATAAGTGCCACGTGGAGCATCCCATGTGCAGGTTTTGTCGGAGCCCGTACCACTTGCGCCGCACAGTTTCACTCAGCCCGCCCTACTTGTTCTTCTGCCTCTACTGACACACGGCAGTGTCGCGAGTTTGCGCGTTACCGTCGCAGCTGCCTGGGCTCTCCACATTTGACTCCAGTTGTTCTGAATTTCCTGCGCTTAGTGCCCGACTTCTTGTTGAAATGGGATCGAAGGGAAATGAAATGGTCGAGGCGAAGGGTTCTGGCGACAGCCCCGGCAAAGAGACCGCATTTTGGGGCACGAAGTTCCTTATCCTCGTGACGGGCGCCAGCGGAGGCCTTGGCAGAGGCATAGCAGTCAGCTTCGCCGAACACGTAGCAAATGGATCGCTCCTCGTCATCACGGGTCGCAACACGGCCGGGCTCGAGGAAACAAAGCGGATGATCGTATCTTTGGGACGCGGCGTCGGCGTGAGCGTCGAGACCTGCGATCACTCCAGGGCACTTTTCCGGGACTACGAGGACCTTCTGGAACGAGCGTCGGCAAAACTCCCGGACCCGGACAGGGTCGTGCTCGTGCACAACGCCGCTACTGTTGAAAGCTACTCTGACGGGGTCGTGTCGTTCGACGACGAGAAAAAGATCGGTGACTACTACCGCTTGAACCTCACGTCCGTCATGATGCTGAGTGCAGCGTTCCTCCGGCACTACAGCTCTGACCAGGGTCCTTCGCGAGTAATCGTCAACGTCGCCTCCACCGCGGGGGTCGAGGCGATACAAGGACTCGGCTTGTACTGCACAGGTCAGTATTTACACGGTCTCTGGCATCGTAAAATTTGTGTTTTTAGTTTAGGCACCCCGATATTCGTAATTCGGCTACCCAGGTGAAATAAATCGGGATGCCATGGGTAAAAAGCGTTAGGAAATGTGTTTTTCATTGTAGTGAATGGGAGATTAAGAAATGTAGGGCTAGGCTGAACGTGTTCGTCGGGGTTTGTTGCTTGGCGTCCTTATAGACTAATGCCGCAATTCCAATGGCAACGGAGCTAAAATCAGATGCGCGGATTTGTCGCGCCGTGTGTGGACGCTGGAATGAAAAAAGAATGAATGTTTTCTAAGAAAACCCTAAATAAAACACGCATGTAAAAAACAATTTCACAATATTTCATTTTGAGGTGAAGAAGGTGGAGGCTTCAGCCCACTCAACCCCGCTCCGTGCTTAGATCGCTCATTGGCAGGAGAGATGATTGACGTGTAGATTGTTGGTTTCAAAATCGTATCTCCGTTTATTAGTACTATTTTAATTGAGAATAGAGAGTTTCAGAAAAGGCGGCCCAAAAGCTTGGGGGCCCAAAAGAAATAGGGGCTCACTACTGCGCATGCGCCGAACCCAAACTCCGTTTTGGGTTTTGTGTTGGCGCTTGCCCCTAACGTGAAATTCGAGAAAGAGCGTAAGGCAGTTATCGCCCCTATTTGCTTAGCGCCGGATTGCGTCGTCAAACATGGCGGCGCCCTTTCCTCTCGCTTCAGAGCAAATTTGTCACGGTCGCTGCAGTATTAACCACTTTGATTGCGAATGAATTGTGCAACAGGCTTTCGCTTCGCTTCATCTTGCTCAAGTCACAAAGAATGAGCGGTAGGCTTGTCTCATTTTAAAGATCGTGCCTCATTCTGGCCATTCCTAAGGCTTAAGAGACGCGGTAATCGTTAAAATGGCAACGTATCGCTACTCCGAGGGTCCGGGTGGAGTTTGTTTGCGACACGATACCAGCAGCTTAAAAACAAGTCTTTCAAGGCTTCAAAGTCTCTCCAGCTCAGATCTAAATCGAGCAGCCGCTCGCAGAGTATGCTTACTAGCGTTTTTCTCAATTTTGGCATACTTGAAGGCCTAAATCTTCGGCGAAAGGCAGTCAAAGCGCTCACGAACGCCCCAAATTTCGAATACGAGCGATAAATGAGAGCTCTACGGATTGGATTGTTTTGGTTGAAAACATCCAACAACATTTATATTGATTTTAGATTGTCTTTTCTGTTAGCCGCACTGATCTCTACTGTACTAAGCTGGATCGCGGATGTCGGCCTCTGCGGCTTCGGCCGGGTGTTGCCACCGGTGGCTATTGATTGACACCACGAAACGCATGGCACTCTATGGAAAAAAACTTGAAATAGTGCCGTTTCCCCCGTTTCTAAGCTTCTGTCGGCATTGAAACGTTTTGGCTGCTTTTCGGGACGCTTGTCAAATAGCATGCGTACAAAAATTAAAACTGACAGCCCTCACAGTTCTTATTAATAAATGTTTTGTGGTCGAGAATCACTCCGCTGGGCGAGAAATGTAGTGCAGCTCAATGAGCCTAGAGTTATCTAGAGTTACCGCGGAGTTGGTGGTGGTTTCGACAAGTTGCGTTTAGCAGACGACAAGCTTGAGGCCTTTGCTGCGCTGAATTCGCTCACCCCCGGAAAGCCGCTGCCAACATGGAACTCTTTTCGACATTCATCAATTTCTGGGCTTCCCAGAGGACGGTCCTATTGACAGCAAGTTTCTTTGTTTAGTTCACTACGAGAGCAAGCTTGCCAGCTGAGCCGTAGGTGCTCCGGTACTCTTGATTTTTTTCATTGGCACGCGAGCGCTTGACAAATGCCGATTCGACCTCCAAACACCCGATATAATGATCGCATCACATCATAATATACTTGCCTTCACGCACAGCATACAAGCTTCAATATTTTACATTTGTGTGTTTTTATTATAGGTTTGCGTGTGTTGCCTGGTGTTAAGTAATCCGCCGGTGGTTTTACCGGCGGGCTCGCGATCCGACGCCAGCCTACTACAATAGAGATCAGTGGTTAGCGGGCTTGGTTTGAAGTTACCTTAACTATCGTTTCAAAGGAAAAGTACTCGCTGAGCGCATATGTTTTACGTTTTTTTTTTATATAGGGCGAAACGTAAGTCCGCCGCGCTGCGTTTCGAAACACCTATGCTATAAGCCGTTGACGTGAATGTTGTTGCATTTGTGTACCCCAATTTCTTAGGGGAACATAAACGTTGAAACCCCCTATTCTAAAACTCTCTAAATGTTTTAGCACTACAGCGTTAAGGAGCTCGTGGCGCAGAAACTCCGGCATCAGCGTCGGTGGGACCGGAGAATCCTGATCGGTGGATAGGTTCCAGACGTCATGTGTGTGACGTCACATGTAACTGTGATGTCACGACTATTGACCCGCCAAGTTTAGCTGAAAACTTTCGCGCTAAATTTAGCCGAAAAGTTTAGAGGGAAAATTTAGCGGGCCGATGGTTTCACAGCCATGTGGGACATCACGCTGCATGACCTCGCGCGGGAATTTTAAACAACCCACAGCGCTCACGTGTAATGTGACGTAAAAGGCGACGTCTCACGTATGACGTCACATGTGACACGTGACGCTACCGACTAGGTCCCGCACACACGCTTGCACGGTTCCACACATTAAAGGCGAAGCTTTAGCGTCCTACAATTTTTTTCCCTTACGTTTCAGAATCAAATAATTTAAATCGACGCATTATTCCTGTAAGTATCCGGAGTTCGGAGTGCGCAACTACTGCAGCTCGTCCAGCTAGTCTATTTTGATGAGTCACACTAGATTTGCGTTCACAGAGGTGTTTGGAGGATGATATCCTCATCCGACGTATGCTCCGTTTACCCCACTGATCTCTATTATAGTAGGCTGGATCGCGGACCGCGGCCTCGGCAGCTGGGGCCGAGTGTCGCCACTGGCGGCCATTGATTGACACCAGCCAATGCATGGGACTCTGGGAAGAACGAGAAAAAGTGACGTCTTATTCTGTTTCTAAGGTGTTGTCGGCACTGAAACTTCTTGGATGCTTTTCGATAAGCCCATCAAATCGCTTGCGTACAAACATTAAAACTGGCAGCTCCTCGCAGTTCTTATAAATAATTATTTTGTGGTCGAGAGTTACTCCGCTGTAGTGCAGCTCAATGAGGCGAGAGTTACCTAGAGTTACCGCGGAGTCGGTGGCGGTTTCGTTGAGTTGGGTTTAGCAGACGACAAGCTCGAATGCTTTGCTACGCGGAATTCGCTCACTCCCGGAAAGCCGCTGTCGAGATGGAACTTCTTTGTCATTCATAAACTTCTGGGCTTCCCTAAGGACGGTCTTTTTGGCGACAAGTTATTTTGTTTACTCCACTACGAGAACAAGCTTGCCAGCTCAGCCGTAGGTGCTCCGGTACGTTTGCTTTTTTTTTATTCGGCGACCGGACGTTTGGCAAATACGGATTCAATCTCCAAACACCGGACATACGGATCGGAACGCATCATAAAATACTCGCCTCCGAGCACAGCGTACATGCTTCAATATGCTTACTTTTGTGCGTTTCCCCCATAGACTTTCGTGTATTGCCTGGTGTCAAGCAATGGCCGCCGGTGGCGACACCGACGGGCTCCCGATCCGCGATCCAGCCTACTAAAATAGGGATCAGTGATTTGCCCTTAAGCTGAGACTAGAAGCTTCGTCTTCAGCGTGATCTCTCTGGCTTCTGCAGTGCTTTGGTTGCGCGTGTTTGCGTGTTCACACCTGTGTTAGCAAGAGCAAAAAACTCGCGCTGAAAGTAGAGCTTGTAAACTCACCTTAAAGGCCTCACACATGCAGCGGTGCGCTACAAGCATAGCGCTAACCTCGCGCTAAGCGCGTGCTGACAGGAGCATTCACCAGCATTGTATCGCACCGTCAGATTGTTACTCATGGCAGATGAAGAGTAGCTGACGACTAAAGCCCCTCGATATGTTTTCGTTTGTCTTTGCAAGTAGCGCCAAATGCGCGAGCGCACGTGGCCCAGGTCTCGAGCGGCCCTTGGAAGCAAATGGCGGCGCAGCACTGAAATGAGCGGCCCTTGGAAGCGAATGGCGGCGGAGCACCCGCTCGTGGCACGTGTCTTGCGCATTTCCACAACAATGGTTGGCGGTACTTGTGAAAACATTTTTATCAAGGGGCTTTACTGACGACACGTGAGTAGCGCCACATTAGCGCTCCGCTGCATTTGAGAACCGTACTTTAGGGTAAACGGAGTTTGGTTTGCAGCAAACAACTGCTTCAAGTACGCGCCTTCAGAACCGCTGTGCGGGTGGTTGTTTCCTAGCGGCGCGGGCCCACGGTGTAATGGCGAATTCGCGTGGTCATTTCCCGGCAAAATATTTTGCCATATCTCCGCCAAGGGCGTTCGCGTGGTCAAAGCTTGGCGAGTGCGCGCCATTCGGGTGGCAGTTCTCAGGCGTGTGCTGGCAATTTACCGGCACAATTTTTGCCCGAGCTCCAAGAGGTTGGGTAGCTTGTCTGCCAGACTGTATCCGGTATCGTCATCTCCGAATCGGGAAAGGGAACCAAACGAAACAATGGTCGCCGAGAGCGGATTCAAGTAGAAAACGGAGCCATTGAGACAGACACCCCTCTGTGGTCCGAGAAAGACAGCAAAGACAACGGAGATAAAGATAAAATATTTTAAAGGAAGCTTCCGCAAGATCAGTTTCCTATCGGACACAGCGTGTTATAACACCGCTGTAAAAAATGTATTGATAGTGCTGCAGCTCGACACTTGAACGCGCATTACTATTTTAGAGGGCTGGGTCAAATCAAAATGCTGAGGATTCCAGCAAAAAGGTAATAACAAGAAAATGGAATATAAAATGGCGACGCTGGTGAGCCTTCTAGGATCCTTGTAAGATGGCAACAGTTCCTCGAGAATCTAAACAAAATATATTACAATTTGTTTACCCACATCTCAGAGTCCGAATATATGTTGCTGATGCCTA